CCGAGATGTCTCGGCCACAGCCGAGATTAGCAGGCATTACCCTTCACAGGCAAATGCCAAGTCTCAAGAGTAGCGTACTCCGAAGCAGTGGGGGGCTCGGGGCAGGGATGGAGGCCAAAAAAAAAAAACAGTAAAGAGACGAGGAACTTTGAATCCACCTTCGTCGGGAAAGCCCTCAGGTCACCAGTGCTTTGAGGAATGTATCTGGCCAGGAAGTGAGGAACATGAAACAGGTCGTTTTCCTTTTTTGTTTCTTGTTGTTAGGTCCCTGTAGCGCCCTGCCAGCCAGGCAGGGCGGATTCCACGTTTTATTGAGTTCCAGACAAGTACTGTAGCATCCTGTATCGGACCGCAATCACAGGATAAGGGATGCTTTTTTTTTTCTTTTTTTTTCTCTCCTGTTTGCGGATAGACGAGGGCCCTGAGTGAACTGCTACGGAAAGGCCGAGTTTCAACTGCTATTGAAACTGGGCCCCAGACTAAACTGCTAAAACGCAGTTTCAAATGCAATTACAAACTGTTTTCGTGACTGCGCCGAAGTTACCCCAAAAAAAAAACAAAAAAACAAAAAAACAGACGTCCATCCCCGCTTACATGTCATCCACGTTGACCACAAGGAGACCGCATGGTCGCGATCCGGATAATAGAGGCCTCCCCAGTGAATCCCCACCTGAGTGACTCGAACGTCCAACCACCTCCCAGCCGTCTGTTGTGAGTCGTGATCGGGTTGATGGAGGTAGGCGTCCGGGATGCTTGTACGTGGAGAAGCCACTGCAAAAATCGGGATCACACGATGGAAGGTAGTACGAGTCCCCGAATGCATGCGCCGCCCCTGCACATGCTTATGTGCGCAAAGGAGACACTTCAGCACGTCCCTCGCCACATGTGTCACTCAATGACGCTTCTCTCTCTCTCTCTCTCTCTCTCTCTCTCTCTCGCACACACACACACACACACAGAGACACACGCACACACAGACAAACAGAGACACACACACGCACACACACACACACACACACACACACAAACACAAACACACGTCTCTCTGAGTGTGTTTGTAAGACTCTGTGTGCGAGTGTGTGTGTGTGACTCTGTCTGTATGTGTGTGTTGTCATTTTCACTGTGTCTGCATGTGTGTGTGTTGTCATATTTACTCTGGTGTATGTGTGTGTGTTCTCATATTCGCTATACACAACTCCACAAAAAAAAGCCTCATCAGGAGATTCAACAGGCCCAATCTGCCCGGTATGCATTTGAGTGCCGAAGTGCCGCAGGCCCCAAGAACGGGATAATCGGTAGAAGGCGCCCACGCCAAAACCTTTTTGGTTTTGGGCGCCCTAAGTTTAGCCGTTTGGTACTACCGGCCCAATGACTTGCATATGGGGTACTACAGGCCCACGCATCTCTCCAAGGGCCCTACCGGATCATGAATCTGGCGCATAACAGTACCAGATTCATTTTGGTGTAAAAGAGGCCGGCCGTGGTACCGCTGAAGTATCGAATGAGGCCCACGTTCCCCATTTTGAAAAAGAAGGGCCCTACCGGTTCATGAATCTGGCGCAGAAACAGCGCCAAATTCTTGAACAGTTAAAAACAAGCCCAGGGAGATGTGGCCACAGCGTGAAGGCGCCTTTCGCCCAGGGGAAAGTTGTTTGGGCCGGTAGTACCAAACAGCCGAACTTTGGGCGGCCAAAACCGAAAAGGTTTTGGCGTGGGCTCTTTCTACCAATTATCCCCCCAAGAACACTTTTCGTGTCTTTTTCCCACCCCGGCTGGACACTGGACAGGTAACGCCCTCTTTTTCCACCTCGGCTGGACACTGGACACTGGACACTGGACACTGGACAAAGAGGGATAAAGAAATAAGTCGAACCAGCGATAGCGCGAGCGAAACGGAGTTAAAAAGATTACCCAGAAGAAAAAACAAGAATTTATAATATCGAACAAAGCAAAAGGAAAAAAAAAAAAAGCACCGAATGAGCAAACGGATCGGAAGAGCACATGTGCTATCATTCCATCCGTCTAAAGAGACCTTCCAAAAACAAATCCACCATCTTGAAGTGCAAGATCGATTAGAAACGGATGGAATGATAGCCGCTTTTATTTATTGATTTACAGCGACTTACAGCGGCTTTTATTTATTGATTTATTCCACGAGGTCACGGCTATCTTCGCTCCAGCCTGAACTCGACGCGGTGTGGGGGACCACCACACCAGCGTGCATTGCCATTTTGTCGCACATCATCACATGTCATAATGGTGCTTACTCTTTTCGTCAATATCGAACCACCATCACGACTACGTTTCGTTCCGGATGTTGTTAATGTTTGTGTGTGCTTAATCTCTGTGCAAAGTGTGCAGAGTTAGGGCCTCGTTAGACACTCCTTGTGGACCCGAAATCCACAAGGAAATGAACGTTCCACCTGTCCTTGGGGACGATTCTCGAAAAAAAATGTGAAAACACCAGAAGGAGATTTCCTTGTGGCGTCCTTATGGCCACAGCCAATTTTTCCTTAGCCCCAAGGGACCTCCCGAGATCCCTCGTAGCACAAGGAAGAGCGAATTTCGGAGCGGCGAAGGCATGCGTCGACGTACAATTTCGGTTCGAGGGCGGTCCAAACGTGGTCCAGCGAAGCGGAGCACGGACATCCCTGCATCCACATCTGCACGGTGCCCCAACGGCTCCAAACGGTAAGCGGCGTCGGGAGGCCTCCGTTCATCGACGCGAAATGCCGGCCGGCGTCCACCAAGGTCTGCTGCGGCGGGCGATCGTCGACAACGGTCCGAAATTCGAATGCTTTTCCCACCAGGTGCCCTTTCGACGGCGACAGTCTCATTGGACAAGATCGTCGTTTTCTTCGATTGTCGTCACGCCTCGCACGTTGGAGCACAGAACTTTCACTGATCTTTCTTCTGTCGACGGGCTTGTTCGTTGAACGGCCGACCACCGACGTCACACTGCAGCCCTTCGAGCGGCCCTTACATGGCCGACCTGCTGCACAGGCTGCTGGTCCTCGTCCTCGTGCTGCTTCTCGTCGTTGCCTTCTTCCACGTGTGTTTCGTCGACCTCGTCCCGGTCGCGGGTTGCAGAAGGAGATCTTCGAAGAAAGCCGACAGGATGGATCGACGATTGGGCAACGGCAGACCGGCAGGCACAGCCTCAGGAGCGAGCAATCGGCAACACAGTGCGGACTCTGTGGCAAAGCGGCCGTACGACCCGAGGTTATACAGGCCTGCCTTCTCACGAGATTCCTCTGCCGCCATCGCATGACGAGGGGGGAGACGCCAGGTCGTCGACTTTGTCGTTGGGAAGTGGGTCGACGCAGGAATGGGTGGCGACGCAGTCGTGCGGAGGCAGGCGGGTGGAGACCCCGTGGTCTTACACGTCACAGCTGAACGAGGGGCTGTGCGACGACGGCGGCAATGCAGCGGTTGATCTTAGCTTCCAGTTGTCCAGCAGCAGCGGAGCAGCATCAATGCACACTCGGATCATCAATCCCCACCCGGGTGTGGATTGCACAGACAACACGCTTGGCGGTGTGAGCAGGCTGCGAGACGGAGGTCTGCCTCATACACTTCGTGAAGGTGGTGGTAAACGGAATGAGTCGACGTCGACCATCGGCGGAGGAGCCGGTGCGCGTGAACGTCCAGAGTGGATGCGGTTGTCACCTGCGTCGCGAAGCGGATCCGACGCTCCTTTTGGACGGAAGCGACCGGAGGATTTGTGTCAGGAAGGTGCGGACGTGCACCGCGACGACAGATAGCTGTGGGCAGAGTGCAGGCAGGCATTGCATCAACGTGGAACGGAGACAATCACGAGAGGGGTGCAACGGCTCCACGTGGACGAAGGGGACGAAGCTGCTGTTGAGGAGGCCCAGGGGTGTGACGACGTTGACGGTGACGACGATTGCAACTCCGACGATTTGCCAGACATTAGGCCGCTGGGGAGGAAGGCGACGAAGGGCGGAGCGACTAGGAGGAAGGGTCCCGCTACAAAAAGTCGACGAAGCAAAAAAATGGATGACGACATGGGCCGGAGCGAGGGCAGCCGAAATTTCTGGTCGGTGGGAGACACGATCGCACTCGTCAGGGCAAAAAGGGACCAAGATCAGTATTTCGCCGGCATGGGCAGTAGTTTCGCCCACATGAAAACGAGGGAGTGGAAGTGGGAGGACGTGCGGGCGAGGTTGCAGTCGATGGGCGTGACGAGGGATGTCGTCGACTGCGGGAAGAAATGTGACAACTTGATGCAGTAATTCAAGAAGGTCCACAAGTTCCAGAACCTCTCCGGCGGGAAAGAGTCCTTCAAGCTTGCATCGAAGGACAAGTGGTCAGAGGGCTTCAACTTCGTCATGGACCGGAGCATGTACGACGAAATGGAGGCCATGACGAAGGGGGATCACATGATCCACCCGAAAAATTTGGCGGACACGGGGGCGGCCGGTGGGGTTCAGATGCCGGCAGACGCGGGTGCTGCAGGGGACACCATGGCCACTGAGGGTGGAGGGGAGGCAGCCGATGAGGAGCAGGAGTCGACGAAATACTCCACATTCAGCGCGGGGAGCGGCGGCGGTTATGGGAAGAGGAAGAACATGCGGCAACAAACCTTTGAGGTCGTCGCCGACGTCATGGACAAGCATGGTGCGCTTATGGCGAGCACAATGGACAGCCCGAGCAAGCGGCAATGCTCCATGATGTTACATCAGTGCGAAATCCTGGAGAGCGAAGTGGAAGTGTAGAGGAAACATTATGCTGCGGCGGATGAGGCGAACATAATGATGTGCCACGCCCTTATGGAGATAGCAAAAGCCATCCGCGAGAGATCATGAGTGATGCTGCCAGTAATGTCCACCGTTGCTTTGCTGGCCTGTCTCTCCACTCCATGTGCCTGCAGAGATGGCGACCTGTGTGTGTGTGTGTGTGTGTGTGTGTGTGTGTGTGTGTGTGTGTGTGTGTGTGTCGTTGCCAAATGCAAATTCTGCACCTTTTTTAGAATCTTTTTTTTTTTTTTTTTTTTTTTTCACTTCGTTTTCCAAGACAGTAGTACGTGCTGCATTCGCGGTCTCCACAACGAGAGGGCCAGCTGTTGAAGGGGTTATGTAATCGGAGGATTGCGGTGGACGGGGTTGTCACCGTTCGTGTCCAGGAAATTGCGTGCCGGGGGGTGGGGAGGGGTTGGGGGGGGGGGGGGGGGGGTTTTTTTTTTTTTTGGGGGGGGGGGGGGGGGGGGGTTTTTTTTTTTTTTTTTTTTTTTTTGAGAAGGCCATATCAGCCCGTGGAGAGTGTATGGACGCGCTTCTACAGACGCGTGGATGGGTCAGTAGGCGCCTCCTCTCTCGCCTGGGCGTGGCAACAGTTGAAGGGAGTGTGTGCGAGGGAGGTCTGCAGAGTTGCTGTCACACGTGTCGCTGTCGACGACGACGGCAGGCGAGGAATCGTCGTCGGGGCCCGTCCGTCCGCTCCATGCTTTCGAGGCGTCGGCGCCTCGTCCACCATAAAGGTCTTCCGCTTGCGGCTTCTCCAGCATTGAAGGTTGGCGCACACAGTGCACAGCGACGACATCCACGCGGGATGCCCTCTGCCTTTTCTCCTCATTGTCGCACCGCACAACCACTATGAAGTCGCCCGTTTCTTCGCAGTCGTCATCGTCTTGGATGTCTTCAGTGTCGTCGTCGATCGTCGGTGTGGATCTTTTCGCTGTCCTTCTCGCCTCGGATCCTTCTCGCCGCGGATCCGTATCGCCCCTTCGGAGGTCCGGCGTCCATTAGTCGCGAAGATCTTCTTCTCGCTGCGGAGCAGTGTTCATCTCCTTCTCGTGTGGGACTTCATCAGCGTCGTCGTCGATCATCGCTCTGGATCTTCTCGCTCTCCTTCTCGCCGCGGATCCTTCTCGTCGCGGATCCGTATCGCTCCTTCGGAGGTCCGGCGCCCATTAGTCGCGAAGATCTTCTTCTCGCCGCGGAGCAGTGTTCATCTCCTTCTCGTGTGGGACTTCATCAGTGTTGTCGTCGATCATCGCTCTGGATCTTCTCGCTCTCCTTCTCGCCGCAGATACGTGTCGCCCCTTTGGAGGTCCGTCGTCGCTTAGTCGTGAAGTTCTTCTTCTCGCCGCGGAGAAGTGTCCGCAGTGTTCATCTCCTTATCGCGTTGGCGGACACGTGGAGGTAGTGTGTGTGGCGAGGATGAGGACGCACTGCTCCCCAGGGCTGCAAACGCGCTTCTTCGTCGTTAGTGTGAACACAGGCGTGGCCACAAACGGCCATTGACAGAGGCGAGAAGCATGTCTACGCGAGGCGGCGCCCGTGGGAAGAAGCGGTAAAACATCCCCGCGAACAGTCAGGGCGGGAAAGGGGTCGGCGGCATGTCCCGAAGGCGAAGAGGCTCCGTTCGGAAGAAGCATCAGCAAGCCTGCCTCTTCGGCGAGGGCGAAGTTGGACGGCAGCCAACGAAGAGGAAGATGACGACGTCTTCACGACGGAGGAGAAAGCAGCAGAGGACAACGTGGCGGCGCCTCAGGGAAGCACTCTTCAACGCTCATCTGATCAGAGCGGTGCGAGAAGATTGGTGACGCCCCCCCCGGAGGCGCAACAAGTGCGTGCGCACAACACCCAGAAGGCGAAGGAGGTTGTCGTCGACGTCGGCCGCGAGGACAACGAGCCGTTGGAAAGCCGCAGACAGCGCAATGTGACACAAGGCGCCACGGAGACGCCAGTCAGGATACTCGTCGCGACTAGAGAAAGGCCACCTCAGGGTGGCCTGCCCTTGACGCTGTCCCAGCCGCGCCCGCGCAGCACGGTTGCAGAGGGGGGCTCCATGAAACGAGGGGGAGGGGAGGGGGCCCAGCAAAAAGCGCGCGTGGCGGGTGGGGGTGCCATCGCTGCTGCAGCCGCGGGGTGTTCGGGCAATGTTGGTGCAGTGGCGAGGGCGAGAGAAGAGGTCCTAGTTGTAGAGCCGGAGGCGACACGCATCGACAACAAGGGTGAAAGTGAGGATGAAGACCCCCTTCTAAGCCAGGTTTTGAGGGGAGGGAATGCGAGAGAGGTGGCCGACGGTGCCCGCCTATGGGTCGATGACAAAGCGTTCTGGACGACGGGGGAGGGGCGAAGGCTGTACAACATCATCCACGAATCGCAGGAGTACTTTGTCGCCATCGCCAGCGGGATGCAAACGCCCTCCGTGCCCAGGAGCGTCGTCATGCCGAAATCGTCGACGACCCTCACACAAATTGCGGATCCCGCACAACTACAGCAGGCAATCGCCCGCACGACGGCAACGAAAAATATTGCTCTACGCGTCTTGCATGGATGGGTCTTCAAGTCCGGGAACCGCCCCCGAGGATTCAATATCGCTTTCCAGTACGCGCTGGAGTCGGTGGCGACCGACATTGCGCGCGTCATGTGGTACGGCGAGGAGTGGAGCAACGTTGTGAGCGCAGCCGTTTGCGCGCACACAATCGACCTGAACATGGACTTGCCATTGTGGTTTGCGGGCGCGATCATCGAAGACAGGCCGGAGGATGACGACATGGCGGCGCACCAGGAGGCGACCGTCATATGCATCGCGCATGCATTTCGTGCAGCGGTGCAAATGGGTGGCATTGTCCACGGCGGGTTCGTCTTGCACTAACCTCTGTCTAGAATCGCGGATTGGTTCAGACTTTTATTGGCTGCCTGCATGTGGTTGATGCGCATGGCGGGAGACGATGCGTGCAGCCACTATGAAGCCATTACTTCGCGACGCTGGTCGCAAAGCCCACACTCATCCCGTCCATGCATCGCGCCTTCGATCATCGGCGGTCCGTCATCCGAGCCACGAACGCCGTCACGGAGAGACTCGGGAAGGCGAACGCAACACTCTGAGAGTACCCGAAGTACATCCCCGACTGGGCTTCCTGCGGCATTGTCTTTGGGCACGATGCGACCATAACGGGGCCAGAGGACGCGAAGAGGAGGGATTGGTTGGGTTCGGGCCCCTTGGAGGATGACGACGATAACGACAAAAAAGAGGACGCGTAGGGGGGAGGTCGGGTTGGAGAGGGTGATGCTGGTGCTTACACGTGCAGCGCGGGAGAGGGTACGCGAACGGGTCTCTTGTTCCGGCGCGGGTAAGGGAAGCGGAGAGGGGGCAGCGCTTCGCGGCGTCGGAGACGCAGGTTTGGTGGCGCCACGTTAAGACAACGGATTGTTGATGGCCTCCCCCTTCGTTCCGCACGTGTACACCATGTCGCTCGTACATGCAGACGCCCGACTTTTTCGGTCATTCAGTTTGGCTGGGTGCGTGATGCAACTGAGGTCGTGGTTGCTTGTGGATGTCGATCGTGTTTCGCTGCCGATGCTGGAGAAGCGATGGTAAACGGCGGTCCCTTCAGGAGATTGTAGGTGCGGTGTAGGTTTGTGCGATGTTCTTTTGTGTTGTTGTCGGCGCAGCTTGTGGCGAGACAAGTTGATTGCACTTGGAGCGCACCTTTTTTTTTTGTATTATTTCAATTCAGAACTAGATTTCGTCAGTTTTAAGATCTACACTCGCTTTGTTTGGTTTGTATGTCTTTTTTGTATTGTTTCAATTCAGAACGAGATCTCATCATTTTGAAGATCAACAAGTTGTGTGTTTCTTGGATGCACATTCAGACGTCTCTTCTCCATTTGCATGATCTTTCTTCGCTCGTTGCTTTGTGTGGTTTGTATTTCTTTTTTTCCTCCCCCGCTTACCCCGATTGATGAACAAAACATGTGTTCGTGCTGTAAGTCCAACACTCGCATGAAGACAAAGCGTGGGGCATCAAACAGCATGAGATGTCCCACAAAACAAACTGTGAACATGCAATGGCACACAGCATCAACGCAAAGAAATAGCAACACACAATATCGACGCAATGAGATACACACACACACACACCGCCAACAAGTAATGGAAATGGACAATACAGACTTAGAAAGGGATTTGCGATATCGTTAAACAATTCATAGCGGATAGTTCAAAATCGAAGGGAGGTGGGGAATAATGTTTTTCCCACCCGAATGACCGACAATGCTCTATCCTTTGTGCCCAAAAATTGGCGCACTTCACACCCGCGGTGCGCCGTGTCCGCACTGCATAACTCCAACGGCAACAACTATAATTAAAAAAAAGGACGGCGACGCACGTCTGCGAATCGCGACGACAACCCAAGATGACCCTCGACGCATACTACCAACCTGACGCAGGACAAAAACTAGCAACCCAATCAAGGCTGGACGGAACAACTGATCTGCCTTCTGGCCACTGCAGTGAACGCGCTTCCACTCGCGGATCTCCGGCAAGGGGAACACGACCCTCCACGCAAACCACCAACCCCGACGGGGAACAGACGATAGCGACCCAATGAAGGTTGGACGGAACAAGGAATCTGCCCTCCGCCCATTGCTGCAATGAATGCACTTCCACGCACTGCCGTCCACGAATGAAACACAACTCAATCATGTTTCAATCGTTCCGCCAAAGCATCCCTCAACGCCAACGCTTCGTCTGTCGACGTCATCATCGACACAGGCTGGAGGGGCTCTTCGATCCCCAGGTCTACACGTTGTCGCACACCATTGGCGACGACCTCCCATAGCCGATTCTTGTCGAAGGGGATTCCTGTGTCGATCAGCATGTTGTGCAGTATGCACTCGACGGTGAACTGCTGCGGGAGCGTGTCCAAGTTTGTCTTGTGTATCCGCAGAAACAGCCGCCACATGCCCTTCAGCTTGTCGAATGCCCTCTCCACCGCTCCCCTCGCCACCTTCTGTTTGTTGTCGAACCGCTCCTCGTCGACGTGCTGATTGATGCCTCCATACGGGACGACCATCCATTCGGAAGAGGGGTACCCATTGTCCGCCAGAACGTACCCGTTCGTCTTCACACCGAATGACTGTGTGACGAGGGGACCACGGAACAACAACCCCTCCTCTGCGCGCAGCAACAGGCTGGACAACTGCAGCACCCTGATGTCGTGACAACTACCTGGGTATCCCATGTGCAGGCCGAGCACACGCAAGTCCAGGTCGACGCCAAGCTGCGCGACGATGAAGAAACGACGCTTCCTGTCGTAGTAGTTTTCGCTCGGAGCGGTCGCCGACTTGTCGACGTAGACGTGAGTACAATCAATGCAACCGTGGCAGTTGGGGAACCCTTTATCAGCAAACGCTCGCAGAACGACGAGTTTACGAAGTCCTGTCGGCCACGCGATCTTCTCTCCGAACACTCTTAGCAGCGCGGCAGTTTGTCGCGTACGACAATCAACCCAGAAGCTCGGCCAATCCCGAAGTTGCACGTGCTGCTTTCGTACGTCTCTCCTGAAGCCCACCTATACAGGGCGTACGCCACAATCTGGTCCGGCTGCAAAGGCTTCCTGTACAACGTGACCCGCCGCTGAAGATGAGGCGCACACGCCTCAGCGATTTCCTTGAACACTCGCGGCGACATTCGAAGCTTATCCCGGAAGTAGTCGTCTGTCGCGTCGTCGCATTGCCTGAGGTCTTCCCATGTGCCTCCTTTCCTGCGCTTCACCCACCACCGCGGCGTCGCACGTGGTATCACTCCGCAACCCAACACGTAGCACAACTGAACAACAGCCTCCGACGTCGCCACGTAATCGGCCCCATCAAACGGATCTTGCGTCAATTTCCTCCATCTACGCACGCGCAACTGCTCCTTCAGTCGCCCCAGCGCCCTCTCCTGCTGACATCGAAGAACAATCGTGGACACGGCCGTCACCACGGCCTGCAGCTCACGATGACTCAACGGATCATGTCTACGGTCTACCCTCTGCGCCGCCCTCCATAGCCGCGACGATGAAGATGCGGTCCCGTTGTTCCGCTGCCGTCTGTGTCGTACTTCCGCACGCGTCCAAGAAGTTGAAGACGTCCGACGACAGGCGACCCCTTTTCCATGTTTACAGAGGAGCAACGCGCAGTCGAACAAACGGATGGAAAGCCCATGTTCATGAACAATCACGCTGCAATTATTGCTGACGTCAGCAATACGTGCACAGAATCACTCACACACACCTACCTTGGTTAACTGGTTTGTTCGGGGAAAAAAAAAAAARAAAAAAAAAAAAAAAAAAAAAAAAGGTTGAGCTCACAACAAACGGATGCGTGCAAACGGATCGAACTTAGCAAACGAATCAGATTCTGAAGATCAACAAACGGATCCCTTACAAAGCAAATGCCCCCGGGTCGCGCATCTAACAACACAAAACGGAACGGAGATACAAAACCGAACGGAGATCCGAAGAGAGAGAGAGAGAAAAAAAAAAAAACCGATCGGGCAAGTAAGAACGAATATAGATGTCCGATTTAGCGGCGACAAACAGCGACAAAGTGAGATCCGAGGACGGGAAGCAGATAATAGTAAAGTTATTAACGAATTAGTTATGGAGCAAAATGATGGTGGGAAGTCTGGCGTCGGAGACTGGGGCTGGCTGGTAAGGTTTTTTTTTTTTTTTTTTTTTTTTTTTTTTGGAAAACAATCAATTTATTCTGGCTGGTAAGGTTGCATTTGGATAGAAGTCAGAGGTGGTCGGGGGTGAAAATATGAGAGGGAGGCTCTTTTATAGAAGGACCGACGGTACTTTGACAGGTGTCAATTGGAACCAGGACCAAAAATAAGGACAAGGACTAAGCCTCCCTGTCGTATTTTCAGCCCCAGCCAGGACCAAAAATAAGGCCAGCGAGGCTCTTTTTTCTAGGTCGCACCGGTGTCAATTTGGACCAGGACCAAAAATAAGGACAAGGACTGATTTCACCCCCGACCAGGACCAAAAATAAGGTCAGCGAGGCTCTTTTTTCGAGGTCGCACCGGTGTCAATCGGGACCAGGACCAAAAATAAGGCCTCGAACCAAAAACAAGGTCAAGGACTGAGCCTGGATAAGGATGGGACTGCCGGTACGACTTCCTCGAAGTCGAAAGATACTCTAGCAGTTTGTTTTGTTGAAGGTCCTAACAGTTGGGACAGGGTCTGGGACTATTCGAAGGATGGGACTACCGGATACCAGGCCCGGAGAAAGCGGAAGTGGGACTTGGGAGAGCAAAAGCAGTGATTGACTCGCCGAAGCGGTCGGTACTTCAGGTTATAGACCAACCAATCGTCTCTCAACATGTCGGTTCCCGCTGACGAGGTAGTAGCTGGCGGAGACCGAAACTTTTTTTTTTTTTTTTCTTTTTTTTTTCCCCTTACTACGGTCTTTACCCGAATGAATAGAATGCCTGGTAATGCATGATAGCCGTATTTGGTGCAAGTGTCAGTCTAGGAGCAGAGATAATGACCGGGCGTTATGTTCGGTGGAAGAGGGAAGGTAGTCGGGGACAGCCAGTCGTCGCCATCTTCCGGAGGGAGGATGTGGCGACTTAGCGCTTTGCGGTTGAGATGGGGATGACGGACCTGATGGTTATTATAGCTATACAGCTATATGCTATGGCAGGTCGGGGACTTCGATGTGCTATATCTGTCGCGACTGATAAATAGTATAGTAGTATAGTATGGAGAGTTTTTTTTTTTTTTTTTTTTTCTTTCCAGATATTTGCTATTTCGCCCATGCCGAGAGTTTGGTGTGTTTGGCTATGTGTTTGCTGCGATGGAGTCAGTCGCAACGCTGACTTCGGTTAACAATTTACATCTACAAACTGATTGGGGGGAAAAAAAGAATAGGATTGGGGGGAGAAAAAACAAAAGGATAGG